GGGAGATGCTGCGGGGCTGCGTGTCCTTGGAGGCCCGTGCTGTGTGCTCAGCTCGGGAACGAGCTGGCGAGAAGCCCTCCCGCAGGGCTGGGGATGCTCAGGGGCTGCTGACCATGATGTTTCACCTGCTCTCCCTTTTCCGTCTGCTAGCGTGTCCCGCTGCACAGGAGCGAGAGGCCGCCCCGGATGCCCACGGCCAGCCCGTGGCCTGGCTGGACGCGTGGGCGTCGTGGAGGATTTCAGAGGTAGCCTTGAAAGCAGTAATTCCTCACTCTTTTCCCCCCCTCGGCAGCTCGGACTCCACTGATAATTTTGAGACCCCTGAAGCAGAAACACCGAGCTGCTCGCCACTCAAGGAGTTCTGCGAGCCACCGGGACCGCCAGAGTCCGGGACCCAAGGTAAAGATCATTGTGCACCTTCTGCTCCTGGAGCTCTGCTCCATTGGCAGAAAGGCAGGGTGGGGTCAAGGAGAAAAATTCTCTGACTTTGAGTAATGCCTGGCACACTTTTGGTGGTTAATGGCCTGGACAGTTCAAATGCCAGGGCTGGGTTGGGTGCTCCACAAAGAGCTGTGATGTGTGGAGAGGAATCTGGGGATGCTGATGAATTACTTTATCAGTTAAACGTTCCTTTGGTACTTCCTCTGTGGCCTGGGGGCTGCCCTGACTGCTGCTGGCTGGTGGGACCTTTCTCATGTGTCACTCACTTGTACAGGAGTGGCGAGTTGCCAGGTTTGTGTCCCCCAGGCTGGTCAGTGGTAGGGGTTTCATTTCCTTGGGGTTGGGTGCCAGGTGTCCACACTGTGTAGCTGCTGTTAGAGATGCAAAAGCTCCATGTCACTAAACCCCATTTTTTGAGAAATTACAGGGGATCTACTTAACTGCATGGGGTTTCCTTTCCTGAGCTGTTTTGCAGGTTTAGTCATACATCCCCCACTGCTGCTGCTGCTCCCCTGAGCGTGGCTCCCCATTAGCCCATGGCCTTCTGAGCACCAGCTCCCCACTGGCTCCATACCCTCCTCCTCAGGGGTTTGTGCTGGTGTCCGTGCTTGATCTTGGTGTTTATCTCTGTTTTTGTGCTGCTGGGAGGAAGCTTTGAAGCTCTGGCACTGCTGCAGCAACGCACTGGGGGTTATCAGGGCAGGGCAGGGCCCTCTCATCTGCTCTGGGCAGGGCAGGGTGGCTGGGCAGTGTCAGGGTGCTGGTGAGCCCCGGGGTGATCTGCAGCAGAGCAGCCTCTCCAGGGCACAGGGCACTGTGTGGTGGGTCAGGCTGTCCTGAGCATTCTCTGCCCTCTCTTGCCCCTCACTGCTGCAGACCCTGGTATGTGATGTGCAGTGTTGTGCCTGCCTTGAATGCTCCCAGCAGCGGCTGGGAACTGTTTGCAGGGCTGGTTTCAGAGACTGTGGGTCCAGACCTGGATCCAGCCCAGACCGTGCCAGTAACAGGATGCTGTGGCTCTCCATCTCCTGTTGTTCTGCTGTTGGGTTGGATCTGGGTGCTCATCCATCCCCGTGGAAAACTTGTGTTTGTCTGCTGTGATGGAGGGAGCGCTCGCTTCATGATTCCAATAATCACAGCTCTCGGAATAATCCTTTTAAGAAGGGATGATAGAGACATCCTTACTTTGGGGATAATGCCTGGGAAGAGGGGGAGAGATAAAGGCTTTCCTGGCAGGCAGGAGGATCATTTCTAGGGACAACACAGCTTAGGGAGGCACATTGCTTCAGACCCAAGGGTGTCACCGTTCCCGTGTGCCGGTGCCCCTTGTCCTGGGATGAGCAGCTCCTGCTCTGCAGTGAGGCAGTGGCTGCTCCTGCACACAAAGCTCCCAGTGTTCTGGAGATGAGGGCATGATCTCCAGCAAAAGCTGTTTTTCTGTGCTGGCTGGCTGAGTGTGGGATGTTGGAGCTGGCAGAGCCCAACTGCGGTGCCACCACGCTTGGCTCCAGCCTGTCCCTGCCCGTGTCTCTGTCTGTGCCGTTTCAGTTTGTCTGGAGTGCTGGAGAGGCAGGATTGGCCAGGTGTGGGTGGCTTTGCAGTGTGCAGAGGCACCACCGTGCCAATGTAACCCGTGTGTTAGGGCCCCATCTCTGAAGGCTGATGCTTCACAGCAGCCCTCGGGAGCAGCAGTGGGATGGAGGTGATCCCTGTCATGGCAGCTCGCCACGGGAGAGCTGCTGCCCTGCAGTCCCTGGGCACAGGGACACACCCCAGCACAGCTGCTGCCCTTCTGGAGTGTGTGGGGCAGTGCCAGGGCTGGAGCTGAGGGCAGGTGTGGCTGCCCTGCCCTTGAGGCACAGCGAGGAGCAGGCACTGGTTCAGCTGCAGTCTCACCCTGCCTTGGGAACAAGCAGAGTGAGGAATGGCATAAACTGTGACTCCAGGGCTGGCTGCTCCATGCACAGCCAGGAGATGACCTGGCTGTGTTAAACCCTGTCCTAGGACACAAAAATTCAGCCCTGGAGGGGGCTGCAGTGGGGGTTTAAGCCCACTCGGGATCACTCAGTTTCCTCGTGCCATCTCGGATGGTGGCATTAATTCTGTCCCATCCTTGCTCAAGTTACCTCCAGTCATCTCCCAGCAGATATTTTGCAGAAGGAAATGAGCAGAAGCAGCAGATCTAGAGCCATCAGCGCTGGGAGTGCTGTCGCTGGCGTTACCCTGATGCAGGGCACGTGTTTTCCGGTGCGTTAGCAGCATCGCTCGCCGCTAGGCTGATTCTTAACAGAATAGATTTAAAAATAGATCAACGGCTGTTAAACACAAGCGAAAAGCCAAAAGAGGAAGAGAGTGGTTGGCCATGTGGGGCTGAGCCGGGTGTAGGGGGGCAGATATCCTGTGCAGAGACAGGAGAGTGCAGCTCCCAGGGAGTGCTGCCCTGGGCTGAGCCCGAGGCCGGAGGGGTTGTTTGGCACAGGGATCCTTCTGCTGCTTCTCCTGCGGGATGGAGAGGACGCCGAGCCTTTGCCTTGCACCGCTGCCAAGTGTTCCTGATTCATTTGAGGGATGGCATGTTGGAAAGCTGTTTAAGTCAGTGTTTGTGTTTAATTTCAGCCCGAGGAAGACAAGCGAAGCAATTATAATGCAGAGGCACAAAGTGTCTATTACTGCGGTGCCAGACTGTCCTGTCTGTTTTTCTTTGGAAAGTAAAAAATCTCTGTTTTCGCTTTGTAGCATCCCCTGCAGGTGCTCACCTGGATGTGGAGCAGGTTTCCAGGCTGTGTTGGTGGGGTCAGGATGCCTGTGCTGGCTGTGTGCTTGGGACCCTGGAGTCGCTGTGTGTGCCGTGCTCCTGGCAGTGCCCGGTTCCATGCTGGGACTGAGCTGTCCCCTGCTGCAGGGCACGGTGCCAGAGGTGGAATGGGAGACCTCGGGGTCACCTTTCCGGGATGCTGCAGCGAGGAGTCTCCTGGGATGCCTGTGAAGGGCTGAGGGGCAGAGCTGTGTGTGGTCAGCGGCTGCCAGCCTGCCTTCTCCTGGGGTGACCAGCACAGTTCTGGCCCAAAAGGAGGATTTGGTCAGTGGGAGGGCTGGGGGGCAGCTGCAGGAGTGGGGACGAGCTGGGTTCCTTGGCAGGAGCCATGGGTGAAGGGAGTACGTGCGGAGCCAACACGCTGCTCACAACGTGAGTGCCTGGGGCTGGCAGGAGCTGGGGCTGGTGCAGCTCTCACAGGAGGAGCTGGGGATGGTGCAGCTCTCACAGGAGGAGCTGGGGATGGTGCAGCTCTCACAGGAGGAGCTGGGGATGGTGCAGCTCTCACAGGAGGAGCAGGGAGAGCTGCAGGCAGCGTGCTGGGGTGGGGGAGAGCCAGGGCTGGGCTGAGGCACTGCCAGGACAGCACAGCTGCGGGGGCTGGGGCAGGGAGCTTGGCTCTCTCTGTACCCCAAGGCCCTTCAGGCCGCTGTTTCCTGCATCCTGTGCAATTGTTCCCACAGGAACACGCGCTCCTGTCACGCTGCGTTGGAGGCAGGAGAATTGCAGAGGGGGAGGAAGTAGGGGAAACCCCCCCTGAGCTTGTAGGAGGGACATTTCTGCTGCAAAAGATTTCCAGAACCATCGGCTTGCTCCTGAGCTGCCTCCCAGTATATCCCAGTTCCTGAGCTCGCAGACTGGCTGGGCAGGGGGGCTGAGCTCTCCTGGCTGCAGGAAATGGGGGAATCACAAAGCTGGATTTTGTGTGGGTGGTTTCTCTGATTTCTGTGGGAAAACGATTCTGAGCTATGGCCACATGTGCCATTGCTCCTTCCCTCCCCACCCTGCAGACGCTCCAGCACCGAGAGGTGGTTTGTGTGCCGACTGCTTGTTATTCTAGAAGTAATTACTCATTGCTTGGGTTAGAAACCAGGATGGGCTCACGTCTGTGAGAACAGCGGCTGCCAAACCTTCTGCTGGGAACGCAAAATGCACTTAAATAGTCCTTTTGCCCTGACTTTGAAGTCTGTTTTTCTATTCAGGGCTGTCTCAGGAAGGCTTCAAACAGCTGAGCAACACAGCAAGTGTAATAAAGTTTTATTTGGGGTCTGTTAAGGAGGTTTTCCTGGTTCCTAATGATGGGAAGGCCTGCCAGGCGCTGCCTCAGACTGTTTCCTGGCTGCACTCCAAGTACTCATCCACTGGATTTGTGTTTACTGATGCATTTTCTGGGGCATCATGGCAACGTCTACTTGGAGGGAGCTTTTTTTTGCAGTCAGAGGAAGCATTTTTGCAGTCTCAGGGAGGACACAGACCCTCATGATTCATTTTCATGGCTTTTAGCATCCTGGGGATCAATTATGCTAACCACGAGCCATCAACTGAGTCAGGATTGTTGGCTCCACGGGCTGGATTAGTCCTGGGACCAGATATTTGTCCTGCTTCACTTTTCCTCTGCCAGCCTGTGACTCGCTCTGTTCCCAGCACACATGAGCTGGTTGCAAATGCCTGGTGACAGGAAAAGCCTCTCCTGAATGCCTGGGGATGGGGGTCTGTGGGGGCACGTGTTTGGTGTCCTCCTGCCAAACGGGGGGGGATGCTCGAGGTGACTCCCCTCTGCAGCTGTCACCTCTGTTCCAGGGCAGGACAGGGACAGGCAGATTTCCCTGCCACAAGCTCTTCATCACCCAGCCTGCTCTTCCCAGCCAGGTTTTCAAACCACTTTAGGAGAGCATTAGTTCTGTTCTGCCCTTAGCCCTCTGCCTGTGAGGGCTGCAGATACCCCGTGCTCCCTGTGCATCCCAGCATCCTGCTTTGCCTTCTCCCAGGAGTCTGGACCATCGTCCCTGACCGAGGTGCAGAGAAACACCACTCATTTTCCTCTTGTGCCTTGGCACACCTGCAGCACAAGCCTGGCTCTGGGTGCTCAGTGGGTGCAGCTTTCAGGGTGCCCCAGCAGAGGTACAGGATCTTCTCCATCCCCTGATGTCAAAGAAGAGATTAAACAGTAAAAGGATTGAGGGGAAAGGATTGGAGTAATGGTGATTAAGTCATCGGTCAGGATTTGTCATTAGAAGATGCTGACAGCAATGTGGAGAACCTGGTGTGACTGCAGCAGGGTTTCTGCAGGTGCAGGGTCAGCTTGTGTGGGGCAGCTTCTCCTGCCTGCTGCACATCCAGCTCTGCAGCCCCAGCTCCCTCCTGCAGCCCCAGCTCCCTCCTGCAGCCCCAGCTCCTTCCTGCAGCCCCAGACCTGGGCAGCCCCAGCTCCCTCCTGCAGCCCCAGCTCCCTCCTGCAGCCCCAGATCCCTCCTGCAGCCCCAGCTCCTTCCTGCAGCCTGTTTCTCCTTCCCTGAGCACACCTTCCTATTCCCCTTCTCCCTGCTTGTGCACATTTTGTGGTGTTGTGTCATGCATCCCTGAGCACTGCTCGCCAATTTTTAACTCTGCCCAAGTGAGCAGTGACTGCCACTCCTGTCATCAGGCAGGAGGGAAATGAGTTCTGAGCCAGTGGATCCCCCATAAAATCCGACCCTGGAGCAGCTGTGAGGAGGGAACAGAAAGCCCTCTGGAAAGGAGTGCACTGCAGGTCAGGGTTTAACCATCTTCTTTTATCTTTTCAGAGCCAGGTGACCTGCTGCTAGGGGAAGTCCACCGGGACAGCTCGCCTGGGAAGCACCCCAAAGATGAGGCTCAAGCAGAGATTGGAGCCCCTAAAGCCAGTTTGGATGCTGAAGGGGAAGCTGAGCCTGACAAGTCGCCCCTGATGCAGCCCCTGGCCGGGCTGGGCTGCAGGGCTGACCCTGGGCCGGCTGCTGTGCCCGCTGTGCTGCCAGCCCCCGTGGCCCCTGTGGGCACTGCCACCCGGCCCATGGCAGGAGGGGACACAGCTGACACCGGCACGGGGTCGCTGGGGCTGGGGGCTGATGGCCTGGCCCAGGAGCAGCTCGGGAAAGGGAAAACACCTTCACTGGCGAGGAAAACAGATGAAGCCACGGAGGAGACACAAACATCCTACCAGCTTGACCCTGAGCAGCATGATGGGAGTGTGAACCCCTTCATTGCCGGAGCCTGCCAGCTGCAGAGCTCTCCCCCAGCAGCCCCACAATGCCTTCCCCATCCCGGGGAGCTGGGGGGGCACCTGGCTCTGGAGGTCCCAGGGCAGGTCCTGAAACCTGGGGCTGATGTTACAGAGGCTCGAGAGAGCGTGGAGGCCAAGCCAGCTTCGCCCAGGAGGGGCAGCAGGATCCCGGCCAGCAAGCTGACACCAAAGAGACACAGAGAGTCCCCCAGGAAAGCAGCTGAGGATGCAGAGAGGGGTCCCACAGAGCCACCTGTGCCCCAGGGCTCCTCCCAGCCAGGTCCCCCCTGCTGGGACAGCCCTGCTCTCGGCTCTCTCAGTGGCAGCTCAGCACTGCAAAGTTCGCCGGTTCTCCCCAAGGGTTCTTACCAGTTTGACCCCAATAACTTTGACTCCATGGATCCGTTCAAGCCCACCAAGACGCTTGCCAGCACCAACGCTGACTCTTGCTCCAGTGCAGATAACAGCCTCAATGAAATCCTCGAGTCTCAGACGCTGGAGATGCAGGATGATGCCCTGAAAGGCACAGACTCCCCCAAGAAGCCCAAGTCACGGCTGATAACGTGAGTGCCAGTGTGTGCAGGGCTGGGGCTGCAGCCCCTCTGTTTTCCCCACGGGCAGCAGAGCTGCAGTGCTGGTGGTGATGGAGGTGCTGCTGCTGCTGCTCTGCTGCCTCCTGAGCCAGCCCCAAATCCTGTCGTGCACCTCAGGTTCTGCTGGGGCCTGGGTTTTATCTGGCTGCTGTCCCAGCAGAGGGGCAGCTCCCTGGTGCCTTCAGGGATGGGAGGAGAGGGACAGCTGCTCTGGAACAGTGCCAGAGTCCCAGGCAGGGCAGGGAAGGCTGGATTGGGACCCACTTGCAGGATCACCTCTTCGGAACCCCTTGAGGGTCCAGCTGGTGGGTCAAGGTGTAGATGTGGTGTCAGAGGAAGCCTGTAGTGGAGGCTGGAGCTGATGTGTTTGCTGGACTTGGGCAGGGATTTGCAGGAGCTGGTGGATGCAGCTGTGGTTGGTTAAATGTAGCTGAGATATTTTGTGAGCTGACACTGAATTTCTGCTTTATGTCAGAGAAAGAGAACAGGTTGGACAGGTAGACTCTCACTCTGCTGTCAGATTCTCCAGTGAGAAAATTAGATAGTGTGTTTTTACAGAGAAAGAAAAAAATCAGGCTGTGTTGGATGTTTTTGTCCAGGAAATACTTTACAGAAAGTAGATAGAGATTTTTTAAGAGGCGGTGTTCCCATGTGTGGCTGTGGGTGAGCAGAGCCAGCGGGGAGGGGAAGCTGCAGGGAATTCTCTGCTCCTTCTCTGTCCCCCTGGAGCACTGCAGGCAGCAGGATGTTGTCCTGGCAGTGAGGTTTGTTGATCTCACCCCTCTGCTGTGGATAGCAAATGCAGGATCAGTGTCCAGTGTGTGTGTGCCTTCCCAAAGACTGAACCAGGCAGCTCACTGTGCTTCTCCAGAGCAGGGTTAACATCCAGGTCTTTTCACACACTCTTCTTCTCTCCATCTGTCTGTCTCTCTCCCTGTCCGTGCTTTGGTGCATCAGGACTACTGAGCAAGTGAAATTTCTCTGTTTTCTGTTGTAAGTACTCTCTCCTGTATTCCTTTTCTTTTCCTTTGCTGTTTTTGTCCTCTCTCTGGGTGTGTGCTGCCCCACTGGTCTCCATGGCATGCTGCTCCTTCTGCCCTGTGACTTGTGCTCTCTGCTGTCTGGTTTGTGTCCCGCAGCCCTGGCGGGGTCCCCAGGGTGGCCTGGCCTGGTGAGTGCCTGGGAGTGAGGGAGAAGAGGAGAGCTGAGCTGAGCTGCAGCAGAAGCACAGGCCTGTGCTTGTCCTCACAGCATGCCGCCTTGCAGCGTCTTCTGATGCTGGATGAGCACTCAGAACCTGCAGCTAACGGAGGGGCAGCAGGACTTTGTGCGATCCAGAGCTGTTATCTTGGTGCTGGGGGGGAGCTCAAACCTGCTGCCAGGTGATGGGGTAACCCTGGCACAGGAGAGGGTGAGGACATGACAGGTTTGAGTTGCTGGTGGCAGGGCATGAGGGAGAAGAGCAGCGCAGAGCGGTTCTTGGATGTGAGCGAGGTGTGCATGGCAGCGTGCAGAGGAACCTCGCTGTGCTCGCTGCACGGGTGGGATGGGGAGGCTGGAGAGTGGCAGTGCCTGGGGGCAACTCCATAAACCTGGGAACAGCTCCCTGCAGTCCTGCTCGAGCCTTTGCCTGTGTCCCTGTGTGCCGAGTGCCGTGTCTGGAGGCTGGGATCCCTCCCCAGGTCCCCACTGCTCTCACATGAGCTGTTCCAGCTTAGCAAGCATCTCCTGGGGGCAGACGTGGCCACGAGCCTGGGAGACCCCTGAGTGTGGAGTGTGAGGGGTGAGATGCAGGAGAACAGCCCATGGCACAGGAGAAATGTCCCAGCCACATTCCCCCTGGGACCGTGCCTCCGCTGCTGTGCTGATTCCCAGCGCGTGGGGACGCGGCCGTGCCCGTGCGCAGATGGATCGGTGTCTTCAGGAACCTGGGATGAAGTTCCAGGGACAGCAAGGGGACCACCTGCAAGACCTGCTTGAGCTAAACTTGCCAGCCACAGGCCCTTCTCCTTGGGACGGTGTTTGTGCCAGGCGGAGCGTTTGTTCCAGGCATGGCGCCTTGGGCCAGCCCTGCTGCTCTGACTCGTGTGGGAATGTGGATGCTGTGGAGAAGTCCCCGACAAGATTCCAGATGTAGGGACAGGGCATAGACAGCCTGGACGTGGTTCTTCCTGCAGAAAGTCGACTGAATCTGTGGCTGCTGTCGTGCTGGACACGCAGGGCGAGGGCGGCGAGGGAGATCCTTCTTTGCTGGCGCCTTGGCAGTGCCTCTCTCGCCATCAGCTTCTTGGGGTCTGTGCTCTGCTCCTTGCCTTCCTCAGGAATAAACACCTCACAGACAAACCCAACTTGTGTGTAGCTGTGTCTTTTGTTTGCCTGTTCCTTCTGTTCCCTCCAGAACTTGCTGTGCCCCGGTGTTCACTGGTGAGTGGGGTGCTGGCACATGGTGGGTGCAACGCTGGTGCTGGGACTGCTCCCCCTGCTTGGGCTGTCTGGCATGTGCCCCTGCTCCCCTGCCCTGCCCCTGAACCCCCCTCAGCTGCTCTTCTCTCTCCTGCAGGAGCGGCTGCAAGGTGAAGCAGCACGAGGCTCAGCCCCTGGTCCTGGACATGGGCGCTCAGGTGCGTGGGGTCTCGTCCCCAGAGGGGCGGGCTGGGCACAGGGATGGTGGTGGGGAGAGCTGGGCTGAGCTTTGGGATCTTCCCTGTGGGCACTTCCTGATGGGAAGGGAGGGAAAAGGCTGGTGGGGAGCAGTTTGACACTGGATTTTAGGCCTTCCTTGCTTTCTGTGGAGTAACCAGCAGCTCGCCTGGTGGCCTGATCCCCACAGATCTTTCTTAACTGCACACTCTGATCCTGCAGGATGAAGGAGTGCTGATCTCAGAAATCCCAGCCATTACAAACCGGGATGGGCGTGCCACTGATGAGGAGAAGTTGGCCTGCACCAGCTCCATGCAGAAACCACCTGGGATGGAGAAGAAGGCCGAGCCAGAAGATGACCTGGAGTACTTTGAGTGCTCGAACATCCCTGTGTCTGCAGCAAAGCACAGACCAGAGGCAGGTGAGGAACATCTCTGTTGCCTTCAGCCCTAGGAATGCACCCAGGGAGCCTCTGCAGCCTCCAGTGAGGGATTGGTGCTGCTGAGGCAGTGCAGCCTCCTCAGAGTTTGTTTGTGCTGCCAGGGCTAAAGGCTGCTGCAGGTTCTCATGGAACCTCCCATTGCTTTCCTGCTCTGTTTCCAGTATGGAACATGATGGTCTGGGCTGTGTTTATTGACACTGGGTAGAGAGCTCTCTCCCACACTGCTGCAGTGGGATGTGGCTCAGGCACAGGGTTCCCTCCCCGAGGTGCTCCCTGCCAGAGCCCCACTGGTGCTCAGTGCTGAGCTGAGAGCTGAGAGCTGAGCAGAACCATTGTCCCCATTCCTGCCCTGGCTCCTAGGCTGCAGAGTCCCTGCCTGGAGCCTGTGCCTGGAGCAGAGCTGCCAGCACTCGGTGTCCTGGCACAGGGGCTGTGGTTGATGGAGGTCTCAATAATGCCTGGAGACTCCAATTATTGCTCCTGGTGGAATTCTGCTGTCAGTTACCCATGCAATTAGCCTCTCTGACTGAGCCATTTCAAAATAATTAAAATCCAGGCAACATGACACTTTGTCAATAGCCAAGGCCTAGGTGCAAGCAGGAGAGATCACCACAGAGGGTTTGCAGCCCTCCCCTCTGCAGGGACCCATTAATCACTTCTCCCCATGGCTATGCTGGGCTGCCAGCTCCAGGAGAATGGTCCTTTGTCCTCAGGGGGGGAAAATGTGACAGTGGAGGGAGAGGCTGGGAGGATTTGTTGATTGCTGCTGGTCTCAGAGGGCCGGGCAGGTGCAGGATGGGCCTGGAGCTGTGGGTGCAGCTGCTGGCACTGGGATAAACGGAGGGAAGCAGTGGGAAGGCTGCAGTCAGCAGTGTTTCATTACCTCCCTTCTCTCTAAGCTGAGCTCTCTAAATGCACTGTTCTCTGCCTGCTGAACTCATGGATCATGTCTGCAGCTGTGTGGCTGCTGCCCATAAGTTACTCCTTATGCTACGTGAGGCAGCACCGTGCCCACAGGTCGGGGTGTCCCTCCTGCAGGTTGGGGTGTCCCTCCTGCAGGTCGGGGTGTCCTGTGAGGCAGTGTCCCTCGGGTCAGGCTGTCCTGTGAGGCAGTGTCACACAGGTCAGGCTGTCCCACACCTTGCAGATGGGAGGAGATGTTCTTTATGTCCTCTCTGCTGTTAGGAGCAGCAGGGGCCCTATGGTCCTTTGGAGGGTGCTGAGAGCTCCCATCAGGCACGGGCTGATGGCTGTGCTGTTCTGAGCAGCTGGTCTGTTCCAGCATCCTGCAGAACATCCTGTGCATCTTCCTCAGCCTCTGTGGTCTGAGCTAGTCCTGGGACATGGCCCAGGCTGAACTGCCACCAGAGGGGAGTGTTGGTTTCCTTCCAAGGACTGCTGGAAGCTCCAGGGTGCATGTCAGTCCTGGCACCTAGGACAGGGTTTAATGGTGACTTCAGCAGTGCTGGGGACTCGATGGTCTTAGGGAGCTTTTCCAACCAAAATGATTCCATGTGGGGGCGAGAGCTGGGGGCAAAGACGCCTTTGGGAGGGGAAGCTCAGGGGATAGAGAGGCTCAGAGGTGCCCTGCTGTGTCTCTGCATTCGCAGGGTCTCGTTTCCAAGTCAATAAAAGGTTGTGTTTCATTGTCTTTAGGTTTTGAAAGGGAGATCTGCAAGCAGATGGAAAAGGGAGGGCCTGGCATCTTCCCTGTGAGTGTGTCTCGCTTTTTCCTTTCTCAGACGGGTTTCTTTGGGAGGTAAAATTCTTGACAAGCCCACACAGGGACTTGATAAAAATAGCAGAGCTTTCCCAGCAGGCCTGGAGAGCCTGGCAGAGGCTGATCCTGCTGGGGTGGGA